TGCACAATTCACATGCAGATTTTCTCTTCTTCTTCTTTCTGCAAAAAATTATTTTATTGAATAAATATACTTGTATACAGCGGCTGCCTCTTTTTTTCTTATTAGCATATATATATATATAAATATTCCTTAATTGTATAAATAAATGTGTATAATTTATTTATCATATTCTATATTATTATATTTGACTAAATAATATTTTTATTTTGTGGAGCACCTTTGCATTCCTTATTACTTTCTGCCACACATGGACTTATCTTACACGTGCCTTTGTCAAAACGTGGATCCAAAATCAGATCTGGTTTCAAATCACGTTCATGGGTTGACTGACTATGTCACACACTCTCACATTTCCTTAGCCAATCACATGCTAACACGTCGGCACCGACATCCAAACTTCTGCGGTAATTATTTCCAGTTTCGGTTTTGAGTGCATATACTGTTTTCTTATTAAAATACATTAATTTTAAAAAACATTTTATATTACAATCTAATTATGTATCAAAATGTATAATGTAACTTTATTAATTTTCACAATAATTATTTTAAAATAATTATAACATAATTTTTAATTAATTATGAATATTTTTTTTATATTGATAGTAAATAAAAATTTAAAAGTAAACCCTAATAATATTAATCTTAAAAAATATATTAGAATTTCAGAACTTAAAGCAACTAAATCATAGTCCCTCCCACCGATTTTGAGTAATCTGCAAGCGAGTCAAAACAATAGCAATATACAAGCAAGCCAAAAACATAAACAAAGAAAAGAAAAAAAAAGAAAAAAAAAACTGTACCAAACCAAACCAAACCAAACCAACAATGCGTCCGTTAAAGCACCATTTCACCCAAAAATAACAAACAAATAAGAAGAACGCTAACCGGTTTCTAACATTGAAATTTTAGTTTTTAATTAAAAGTAAAAAAGTTTATGTAATTAAAAAGAAAGATATAAATTTTGATGGTAAAATTTTTTATTACATAAAAGCAAGTGAATTCTCACGTGAGAAAATCCATTCCTATAGTAACCATTCTTATACACTCCTTCTATTTCTCTTTTTCGCTCTCAAAAATATTGTAAGGATCTCTTGTTTTATAATTTATTTAACTTGTCTCTTTTAAATCTCAATTTAATAATATATCAAGATTTATATTTTTGCATAAATTTGTATCTATACATCTATACATATTATAAAGGGGATATTGAGATATGTAACTGATTGGTGCCGTACTCGATCAAATAAAAACAATGAAATATAGTACTAAGAAGCTTTCGTAAGTCGTCTCCCAATGATCATTTATCTCTGTCAAAGGTTCAAACACAAAGTGGGGGGTGTTTTGGTTCAGATTTATCAAGGTTTAAAACACAATAAAATGCAAGTAAAATAGTGAGTAAAGCAAGTTGACTCCTTGTTCAGATTGTAACGCTCTTATCCCTAATTCACAAGAGATTACTCTATCAACCACTTAATCATTGTTCCATCTGAGTTAACTAACTAAGCGAAGATTAACTCAAGACTTCCCTAACATTTAACCTCTTCACATATTAAGTAACTGCGGCATTAAGGACAACCCATTAAGCATGAACACATTTATACAGAGATTAAATGAAGAATGATCAAGTAGAACAGAGATATACAAAACGTACCCAACTTCAAACAGAGATTACAATCCACAACAAGGAGTCAACCCCAGGGGTTTTAGCCTTCCATTAAAACAGAAACAGAAACATAAATGAAAACAAGAATGCAAGGAAGAAGGAGAAAAAGAAATGAATAATCTGTATTTCTTAAATGTAAAGGTTCAGTTTCTTCATACAACTTGTTGGGATGCAAGCAAAGTCCCACATCGTTCAAACAAGAGGATGAACATGAGTTTATATACACACAATTGTCTCCATTGGAAGAGAGACCTTTTGGGTAGTGTCCAAAAGCAAAACTGTTAGGATTTGGGCCCAAAGCGGACAATATCCCACCAATGTGGAGACATGTGTATATGTGTGAAAATCCCCCTCGGTGCTCAACAAGTGGTATCAGAGCTGATGTGGAAGAGAGGCTTCCTAGTAAAATGGAGGCAGCGTGAGTGAGCTCTGTGGGGCCACTATCGGATAATACTCGTAGCTTTCGCTGCAAGGGATGGGGTAAACCGTGGTCCTTTGTTTGAGGGGAGGATTGTCCCACATCGTTCAAACAAGAGGATGGACATGAGTTTTATATACACACAATTGTCTCCATTGATTAAGAGACCTTTTGAGTGATGTCTAAAAGCAAAATCGTGAGGCTTGAGCCCAAAACGGACAATATCTCACCAATGTGGAGACATGTGTATATGTGTGGTAACCCTCTCGGTGCCCAACACAACTAGAGACGAAAATGAAAGAAAAACGTGAAAGAAAGAGCTCTAGAACAGGGGAAACTTGGTCACATCAAGTCTGTCCAAGTTGGTGGTTGCATGGTCAGCCCTAAGACCTAAAAGAAACCCTAAAACGAAAGTGGGCCTCCCCCCTCATGTGTCTGGCCCGAAAATGAATAAAACAAGGTTAACAAAAATGTAAACATGTTGCTGATGTGGCAGGTTGGTGCTGATGTGGCACTTTATCTCCTAAAGTTAAAAAATAATATCCAAGCTCAAAAATGCTTCACAATTAACCTGAAAAGAATTGATAAACAAAAATTATACCAAGTACATCGGAATTAATTAAAATTCGAATTACTGGCCCAATGAAACCCAAAAAGTAAAATTGTACAATTAATAAGCTATTAAGTCCAAATCAACAATTAAAATAAGTACAAAAAGATAAATAAAAAAAAAAAATAATGACTCATAAGTAACCATTTTTAGTTTTCAAATTTTAGTAGATCATTATATCTCTCAAATATAAAAAAGTATATATTTTCTAAATAATTATATATTATTTATATATAATTATGTCTCGACCTCTTTAATTAAAAATAAAAAATATTAAAAGAATATTACTAACTTAGTATATATCAATAAATAATTATCCTTAAATTTATAATAATACTAATAAATGGGTTGACTTTTATGTGAACACATTTATTCCTATGAAATTAAGTTTAAACTTATTTATATGACAATTCAGTTTAATTTCACTTTTAGTAACGGTAATTTAGCAATTCGGTTTAACTTCATTTTGGATAATTGTTTTATTACTTTTATAAAGAAGTTGTAATATAATATATTTCATTTTAAAATAAATAAAAATACACACTAAGATACCAAAGGTTTATTTGAGACTAGTATACATTTTCTTTATTTTTTTGTTTCTCTAAAGTTTAAAATTATGAATTTAGTTTTTATAATTATGTGAATATTTTAAACTAAACATGTGTTTATTATATCATGTTAGGTGATATCATAATTGTTAATGTGTTACTTCCAATTTTATCTTTTTTACAAAATTTTAAAATAATAATAATTTATTTATCTTAAAATATAATTAGAAAATAAATAATGTTTTTAGATTTTAAAAGAATGAAACTAAAGAAATATTTTATAAAAATCAAAATCAATATTTAATCATTTCAAAAATAAAAAAAAATTATAAATAAAAAAATGATCAAAATCAAACCGGGTACATTTTGCATGAGGAAAAAAACATAGATATTTAAAAATTTTACTCTATATCAGTGTTATAGAAAAAAAAAGAAAAGAAAAGAAATTGTTGGTAAGGATTCAGAGGGAAAGCATAAGAATAATAATGATGAAGGAAGAAATAGAACAGCAGAGCAGAGCAGTGTGAGAAGAGAAAGGTAAAACATCAAACGTTACAGTGTGGCGGTGAGTCTACGTCACTACCCTCAATCACTCAACGTTTTATTAACCCTCTCCTTCTTCCTCTCATTCATTCTCATTCTTCTCTCTCTCTTTCTCTCGTCGGTGGGGTTAGGATTCAAGATCCAATGAATCCCCTCTCACTCTCACTCTTTTTCCTCGTCACTACCCTCGCCACCACCGTCAGATCCGACTCCTCCGACCACCGCTACAAGGACGGCGACCCCGTCCCCCTCTACGCCAACAAGGTCGGCCCCTTCCACAACCCCAGCGAGACCTACCGCTACTTCGACCTCCCCTTCTGCCTCCCAGGTTCCTCCAAACGCCGCCGTTTCACCCTCTCTCATTCATTCATTCATTCATTCTTATCCCTTCTCACTCTCTCTGGTTCGTTTTCCGCAGGGCACTTGAAGGAGAAGAAGGAGGCGCTGGGCGAGGTGCTGAATGGGGACCGTTTGGTGAGCGCGCCGTACCAGCTGGAATTCCAGCGCGACAAGGAGGCCATCTCCGTGTGCAAGAAGACGCTGAGCAAAGACGAGGTTGCCCGGTTCAGATCGGCGGTGCGGAAGGACTACTACTTCCAGATGTACTACGACGACCTCCCCATTTGGGGCTTCATCGGGAAGGTCGACAAGGACGGCAGGGACCCCAGCGACTACCGCTACTTCCTCTACAAGCACGTCCACTTCGACGTCTTCTACAACAAGGACCGCGTCATCGAGATCAACGTCCGCACCGACCCCAACGCCCTCGTCGATCTCACCGACGACGCCGAGGTCCACGCCGAGTTCCTTTACACCGTCAAGTGGAAGGAGACCAACACGCCCTTCGACAAGCGCATGGACAAGTACTCCCAGTCCTCCTCGCTGCCGCACCATCTCGAAATCCACTGGTTCTCCATCATCAACTCCTGCGTCACCGTCCTGCTCTTGACTGGCTTCCTCGCCACCATCCTCATGCGGGTGCTCAAGAACGATTTTGTCAAGTGCGTCGTTTCTTTTTTCAATTCTGCGCTTGCGGATCGCCGTTTCCGATTTTCTCTGTTGCTTATAAGGTTTTGTTGTGATGCTTTGTGGATGGCGTGGCATGGGTGGATAGGAGAGAGAGATGGAGGGAATTAACGGGGTTGGGTGTAGCGGAAGGGTGTCCCACTAGGAGAGCCAAATTAATGTTCAAATTCTTGTTGGGAGATTGGTTCGCATTTAGTGTTCAAAGGAGAATGCTTGTGAGAATAAATAGAAAAAGTAGTGAGAGAAAGTGACATAGGATAGAAACTGGAGAGGGAACTAGAGAGAAAATGGGGTGAAAGTGGGATGGGAGAGAATGTGGATGTATGATTATGATTTTTCATACTCTATAAGAGGGAATGGCGACAGTATTGCAGGAAATTGCTGACAAATGCGACCACATTTTGCGGTGGCGAGTTTGGCATAATTCTTAATGTTGCAGGAAATTGCGAAGAAATGTGGTTGCAGTTTTGTTGCAATCCTTGGTAATTGTAGGATGGGATGTTTGCAGATAAATGTGGTCGAGAGTTTTTTTGCAATCCTTGATATTTTGTATAATGGGGCGGGCCACAATTACAGTTGTGGACACTTGAAAAACTTTGATATTGTGTCTTAAATTGTGGTTGTGGACTGTTTTTTAAAACCTTGTTTATTTTTTGTTTGGGATGGATTATGGATGTTCTTTTGTTTGGATTGTTAATAGGTATGCGCATGATGAGGAGATTGCAGAGGATCAGGAAGAGACTGGATGGAAATATATCCATGGGGATGTGTTTAGGTTTCCCAAGTTTAAGTCTCTGTTTGCGGCTGCACTTGGATCTGGCACTCAGTTGTTTACTCTGTGAGTGTTCTTGCCTGTTCGAATTTTGAAATGTGTCTGTCAGTGAAGGATGTTTGGGGAAGTTGGATTGTGATATTTCTATTAAATTGTGATGTTTTGTTTGTTAATTTATCTTAATGAGTTGTGTTAATGTGTGGTGTGCAGTACGGTGTTCATATTCATATTGGCGCTTGTTGGTGTGTTTTATCCATACAATCGAGGGGCGCTCTTTACTGCACTTGTTGTCATATATGCACTTACTTCAGGAATTGCCGGATATACTGCAACTTCATTCTATTGTCAGTTGGAAGGAACAAACTGGGTATTTTCTCTTGAATATTTTCTCTGCTATTTGGTGCTGTGTTCATTAAATTCACACTTTTTATCAGTCCTTAGTGGTTTTATTCTTGTCATTTTTTTGACAGGTTAGGAATCTTCTGTTGACTGGATGCCTTTTCTGTGGACCTCTGTTTCTGACGTTCTGCTTTCTGAACACTGTTGCAATTGCTTACAAGGCTACTGCTGCTCTACCATTTGGGACAATTGTGGTTATAGTTCTCATATGGACACTTGTTACATCTCCCTTGCTTGTATTGGGAGGGATTGCTGGGAAGAATAGCAAGGCTGAATTTCAAGCTCCCTGTCGCACAACTAAATATCCAAGGGAGATTCCACCTCTGCCATGGTATCGTGGAACAATTCCTCAGATGGCGATGGCAGGATTTTTGCCTTTCAGTGCTATATACATTGAACTTTACTATATATTCGCCAGTGTTTGGGGCCACAGGATTTACACCATCTACAGCATCTTGTTCATTGTCTTCATCATTCTTTTGATTGTTACTGCTTTCATCACTGTGGCATTGACATACTTCCAGCTTGCAGCTGAGGATCATGAGTGGTGGTGGAGGTATGAAATCACTATTTATCACAAATCTTTTCCCTGTTCCTCATGGTTGGTGTTTATATTCGTTGTGGCTAGGTAGTGCATGAGATATCAACTGATTCCTGAACTAGCTGCTTGGTTCTTGAATGATGTAACTGATATATTATGATCAATATTGGATTATGGGTGCATTAGGGGAAACAACTCAATTTAGAGCTTATTAAGTAATAGCGTATGGAGGCCATAAGCCAGTTTCATAATCTTAACCAAACATGAAACACCCATGTAAGTTTTCGTATGACAAGATAAACCTAGATACTTAAAATGTAGGTGCTAGTACACTGGTAAGTGTAAAATACTAGGATAATTTTTTTAAATCTCTTTTATTAACAGATATTAAGCTCTTTCTAATGGAAACAAGTTATGATGATAGTTGGATGAGAAGCATGAGCTTTCCAAGACAGATAGATAGATATATTTGGAATATTGTTTTTGACAAGTTACTTCAAACATTGGGACTTTATAACTGAATTGGCTAGTTATTCTTGCTCGATGGTTTGTTAAGTGCATGACTCATGAACAAGCAGAGTCACAGATAGTGTTCTTGCCTTCACGGTTTTATTATGTATGTTTCTATTCTTTAGGAAAAATTGGATTCTGAAGAATGCAGGCCTTGTTGCTTATACATCTCTTTGTTGACTATTTTATTATTTTGACCTTTCTTATAATATGGGACTTGCATTTTTGAATGGATCACATGGAGTTCCATGAGGCTTGAATTTATGTGAAATTTATGACCTGCTCAATTGACCTATGTGTTCTTATTTTCGTTGCAGATCATTCCTATGTGGTGGTTCAACGGGGTTATTTATCTATGCCTACTGTCTGTATTACTACTATGCTCGCTCCGACATGTCTGGATTCATGCAGACCTCATTTTTCTTCGGATACATGGCCTGTATTTGCTATGGTTTCTTCTTAATGCTTGGAACTGTTGGATTCCGTGCTGCTTTGCTCTTTGTCCGTCACATTTATCGATCCATCAAGTGTGAGTAGGTATTTTGTCCTCTCAGTCCACTAGAGCTATTATTGTCTTCATTTCATAGGGCATTCTGTAGAGAATTATAGTAATTTTGCAGTTCTTCTGTGTACTATAAGGGAAGCTGGGTTGGGTGGGTTTCTAGCTTCCAGAGCAACTTGTTAGATGGCAGAGGGTGCTTTTGGGGATAACGTCTTTGTACTACCATCTCTTTAACCAAACTTTTGCAATACTTTTTGATCCTTTTCAACGTTCTTCATCATGTCAATTTTCAAGCTGTGTCAAAACAATTAAGTTCTATAGAAATTATGACAAATCCAAATTGGAACACATTTGGGCTGTCTCTACATGAGTAATGTCAGATATCGTATTAGATATTATCAGCGATTACCTATTTTGAGACAGAAAATGCTTCACATATTAAATCATCAAATAGATCTTAAATACTTCATTGCCATAAACAAGCTCAGACACGAGACCAAATCTAACAAAGCAGTTGAGAAACAATAAGCAAAAAAGGACTGAGAAGACATGCCTAATATTGAAGACATGCCTAATATTGCTATGCACAGTTTAGATTATAGGCCAAATCTAACCAAGCAGTTGATAAACAATTCGTGAAAAGGAGTTGAAAAGACGTACTTGATATTCAATGATTCAAAATAATAACGTCCAAAGAATCATGCTTTCCTACTTGCTTTGCAACCCTTGCCTTGATTATCACCCACACCAAAAAGGCCCATTTTATTTTTTGTCACCTTGGTATATTCTCTCTTTATAATCACCAAAAACGATAAGGATGTTTCATTTTCCTTTTGTTCTCATCACGATCAACTACGTTTTCTTTGCCTTTATTTTGCCATTAAGTGAGAAGATGATAGTAGAAGCTCGGGCCTAAAGATTTGAAAGAATACGGTTGAGTTGGGTCACTTCAGTAGACTCGGATATGGGTTAATGATATTTTTGGTTCGACATTGCTCAACTCACCATTATATTGTGTTGAAATAACAATTTTATTTTGAGGTTAAAAATTTTAGTTTTAACAAAGGGTTAGGTACTAGAAAGGCTACATTTATCAACCAATACAGAGAAGCCAATTAACATTCTTCGAAAATCTAAACAATGTATAGATAATTATGAAAGTTGATAAAAGACACATTTGTGGTGAAAACTGAATGAAATTGTCCTTTGACAAGATTCATTTCCCTTCATTTCCGGCGATAGGTTCTTCATTTATGGTGAAAGCACTATTAGTTATAAAATTCTAGTAATCTCCTAGAGACTAAGAGCTGCTTGATAAATGCTTGTTGTAATAAGACTGGACACTACCAAATACGTGTTGGTGTTGTTTACAGTGTATCTCTCATGAGAATTATAGAAGAAATGGTTGATGCTTCTCATCAATTAAATCTTAGATCATCAAATTTAAAAGAAATCTTCAAATGATGGAGGAGAAAGAGGAGGTATGCGAGAACTTATTACAAAAAACTATTTTGATAAAAGTTCATGAGGAAATAATCTTTCTAAGAAAGAACTATATTCTTGGAAGAGGAAATTTAATGTTATCCTTAGAAGTGTTATTTTCTTTGTGATCAAAGTACCAACATTAGAAGTGTTATTTTCTTTGTGATCAAAAGAGCTTAACCTATTTATCCTCTCCAAGTGTAGGATGAATCTATCCTTAAGGATTTTTATTTTCTTGGGATTGTGTTAAACCCCTATAAGTCCTACAATACTATCTGTAATCAGACTATATTTTTATAGTTTTTCTAAAGGAAGTTTATTACTAACTTTTAAAAAGACTTGTCTTAGGTGTCCTATGTGATCACCTAGGATCCTAGAAACTAAATTATCTACAACTAAATTTTATTATCTTTCTAAAGATTGAGGTAATCTAGAGCTACCATGACTAAGGAACTTTTTAGGAACAAAGTGTTGTCCCTAGGATTGGAAGGTTAAAAAAAGAGTATTGAGCTCTTGGTTAGAGTTGGGATAATTAAGAATGACACTAAAAAGAGTTATTTTCAAAGAAGCAATAGGTTGCCTATCCTTCAATAAAACAACTCCCACACCTAATCCAAATGCAATATATTCTAACTTCAAAGTTTTAGAAATGTTTGGAAAAGTTAAAACATATGCATTGGAGAGTTTATTTTGTGATGCTTGAAAAGCTTGCTCAAGCTTTCCATCCCAAAGGGGGGAAAATGTTCTTTGCCAACTCATTGAGCGGTGTAGTATGAGATTGCTTAAGATAGAGAGTTCTTTTGATTCAACTTTTTATAGAAAATAATTCTCTTTCTTGACAATCACTTGAGAAGAAACATTTATCTCCTTTTCACTCGCTCCTCTCGTAGTCTATGAGTAGTTTTTCCTTCTCTTTTAATTTCTCATTTTCTTTTTCCTCCATAAATTTCATTTTCATTTCATCCTCTTCCACTTGGGTAGGTGTAATAAAATGTAATACAAAATTCTTATCTTTGTGATAAGGGACATTTCATTAGTAAGACCATTGTCTATGAATATTTTTTTATCAAATTTTCATGACCTTTCTAACAAAATATGAGAAGTTTCTATGAAATCTATATCACATAAGACTTTATCCTTATAGTTTCGAATATAACACTTAACCTTCACTTGTTAATTGACTACCATATCCTCATTTTCATTAAACTATTGAAGTTGGTAAGGTTTAGGATGAAAAATGATAGTGAGAGCTAACTTAGCAACCAATCTTATGCTACAACTATTAGAGTTTGAATTACTATCAACAATGAAAGAACAAATTTGTTCTAAAATTTGACATCTTGTATGAAAGATGTTCTCTTTTTATGAAATGTTAATTTCACAAGGTCGGTTTCCAATAAGAGTTCACATCACAAGAATAAACATTCTCTATCTTAGAATCTACCCCTGCTTCTTCACTTCCACTAAAGGTGGAGGAAGAATATGTAGTTTTCTCTTGACTATTATAGTAGTCTATGCCTCTTAAGACCATGGTCATCTTGTTTGGGTATTTAGAGGCAATGTGACCTCTCTTTAAATACTTAAAACACTTAATGCTACTCGTCCTAAAACTAGTGTTAGGGGTTTCTTACTCATGTGAGAGATTGGTTTTCTCATGTTTTTCTTTAGATGGTTTACTCTTGGAGTAGCTCTTAGAATAATGCTTTTCTTCTCTTTGGTCCTTCCTATGGTATGAAGATGACAATAAGGATTCCTTTTTGTGAGAAGTTTTCTTTAAACTTTGATGCACAATTGGACCAAGTCATTAGGGTCCCTATATAGAAAAAGGCTTGACTCTGTCTCTAATCTCAATGCTCAAGCCACTAAGAAACCTTGTTTTGATGGTTCTCTCTTTGTAACGTCTAATAGTATAAATATTAACCCCAATTTTATACGTATAAATATGCATATAAATTATATATATTTATAGATTGAGAACACAAGTAAGTTATTAATAATATTATATGTAATAAAAAAAAATTCAAACTCACTTACACATAATTAACTTATAATGACCTTAAAATATTTGCAATAACATACGTAATTATAAACTATTTATATCTTACATTATTATTTCTAATATTTACATTACATATTATTCTACTATTATTTAGAGTACATGCCTTACATACTATTTTTTTTTTCTACTACTACTACAATAGTATTTACATTGGTGGTGGAAATAAGTTTACAATAGGATTGACATGATTTGCTGGTGGTAAAAAGAAAGTCACTATAATGGGTCCATCTATAATAATGGAATTTTCTTGATTGGGAAAGGAAACGAACGAAGACATTCCTATGCCTTGGAACGTGATTGAGTTGGAGACAGCGTCTACGCTCCAATTACCCCAGGAAAAATGGCAGTGATAACTATTGTAAAAGAACCTGGAATGACCGTTAGATCCATCTATTTTATGATATATTTAATTTTACACAGAGAAAAACAAGGAGTGAGAACAATTATCAAATAAATACAATTAATTAAATAAAGAACAAAATTGTCTATAATCAACGTTAAAATTAAATTTTTATTGTTATAATAAAATTTAAATTATTTTAGTAGTGACTAGTCAGGATAAATGAACATAATAATATTAACCACAAAAGAATATTTTTCCTTAAGTACTTACTCATTTAAATCTCCAAGGTTAAACCTCCAACTACAAATTAATTCAAACTTTATTTCTTAGGCCATAGAATAACTTTTATCTTTATAATGTATAATAAAGTAATAGCAAGATAAACTTATGATATTTTAACAAAATTATATCATAGTTAAATTTAACATAAAAATAATCAAGTTAAATAAATTGAGTATTTTTTTCTTTCATTATTTAGAATTTAATAAAATATAGATTACGTAAATGGAATATATTAAAGAGTACTAATCAAGTAAATCATAATGAGGTTAGGGACAACACTATAAAATAATTAAACAACATAAACTAGAAACACCTTATTAATTATTAAGAGTAAAAAAACATAGATTAAGCAAATAAGTGAGGTTAGGGACACCTCACTAAATAAATATACACAAAATATAACATAAATAAATAAACATAGTAACATATAAATTTTTTTAAAAATAAAGTTCTTCTCCCCCTTTCCTTAAAATGTAGACTTATAGAGTTAGTTGCGTAAATATTTTACTATTCTCTTTATGCTCACTTTCTCTCTTTCTCTTTTTCTCTCTTTTCTTCCTTCTCTCTTTTTCTCCTTTCGTAACTTGTGTCCCCAATTTTACTGCATATGACGCCTATTTATAGCATGAGAAGTAATGATTACTTAGTTGCTATCTAATGGTAAATTAGTTCCAATTAACTTAGTTTCACTATCATTTGCTTTTTTTGGTTTCTTATGGATAATATAGAATCAATTGAAATCAATTGAGATAAGGTTTCTGAACTGTTGAGTTATCTGTGCATTTATTGCAGTTGATTTTTTTTCTTTCGTTTTTTTATAATAAAATAATATTTTTTTTAAAATTATGAAATAATTTTTTTTTTGTTTTTTCCCCATTTTATTTATTTATTTATTTACATATATATATAAATAAATTTAATATAATTATTTACATTAAAAATTTGAAATTTTAACAATAAAAATTTGAAATTTTAAATATATATATATATATAATGATTAA